TATGAGCATGAACCCAAACCTGAACACACCACAGTGACCCATGAGCAATCGGTGCGAGTGACACCAAGTTTGGTATTTTCAACTCATTAAAAACATTTTTTTTTTTTAAAAACTGGATGTTAGCTGTGGCATTGCCCGATTCCTGTTCACCTAGTTGGAGTAAATTTGTTTTGCCCCAGTACTTATGTATTATAAAAGCAGCTCTTAAGGAACTACGCTGTTAGCATGCTAGTTATTATTAGCATTCCAGTGGCAGCAAATCTCCATAATGGCCTCTGAAAGTTGTGAAAAGCACTTATAAATGCATTGCAGTGGATAATAGGATGCTAAGAATGGGTTTGGAAAGTGTCTAACCATGCTCCTGATTGGCTCTTTGGTTGCTATGGTACACCTACTCTGATTTCTAATTATGGGTCTTGACTAGTTCATTCATTTGGGTAATTTGGCTGGATGTTATGTCACACATAGTCAGTGCACTTCTATAAAGTCTATGGTTCCGACTTTTACTCACTCATCTGCACCAATGACCAGCTGACTAGCACATGTCTTTTAATAGTTTTGATCCTTGCATCAATACTAGGGTTGTGCAAAAATATTAAAATATCAAAATATCGCATCGCTTAATGTGATGATACAGTATCGATATTGTGGGCTGCTGTATTGATATACCAAGAGTATTTTTTGGCATATTTTACTCAATTATTTTGTTACAGCACTGCAGTTTTGTTGCTTGCTTAGAGGAAGGAAACTCTTTTATCCAACACATTTGACTAATTCACTGTTTTGATCATTAAAATTGGTGTGTTTCATATTCACTTTGCACAAGAAGTGGTTTAACAAAGACATTTATTATCACAGCCATGATTTAGATATTATTTTTATTGAACCATATTGAATTGATTTGAAATATATCCTGTCGAATCGAAAGCTCACTGAATTGAGATATGTATCGTATCATGGCCAATGGAGGTGTTTAACATATCGACAACTTCTGAATGATACCCAGCCCTAATCAATACTTGGTTTATGCCATAGAGGTTAAATAGGACATTGTGCTTTTTCTGTGGTATTTAATATTAAACTGTAACATACATAGATCATCATTTCACATTTTGTTCATACCTCAGTATTGATTTAAAATAGCTTAAATATAGAAACGGGTTTATTGACTTTCTGTCAGAGCTGAAAAAACCCGCCTCTTCATGGTGACATTTCACCGTGGCAAGCAGCAGATCACTTGTTTTTAATCCTCCATGTATGATACAGAGCCTGACTATTTGTAAGAGTCATAAATACGTACAGCGCAGTGGGCGGAGATAGAAGGTAGGTGAAAGGACAATACAAGATAACTCCAACATGCATAAATCAATTGAAATACAACTTTCAAGTGTTTTAAGTGAATAATGAGGGAACTAGACTTGTCAGTAAATATAGATAGAAACGATAATATCCCCATGAGCTGCAATAAATAAATAAATGAATAGCAGAATGTCAAACTTAAGTTAATAGTTTGTATCTAATAATGTGTCTTAGAAATTCTTAATTCAACCTTCTATAGCTAAAATCTTATAATATTGCAAGAATATATAATCATTAGTACAAAGGAAAGGTACACATGATATTTATTGACCTCCAAAGATGATTAACTGGCCTAGAGGGAACACTGGTTTTACAGCTCATGAATGTCAATTTTACATAATACCTCCCCCTTTAAAACTAGAAATCATCCCAACATAATCATTTGGTTCATCGGGATCATGACTTTGAGTTGGCTTCTTCTGTAAAACATGTTTACAGCACAAAATTCCATAAACAAGCCAGTATGTAGTACTGAAAATACATATTCAGAATACACATTTTGACTAACTGTATTCTGGCAAGGTTACTTTTTCATTTGATGGTATTCAGAATATAGTTACTTCCCTAAAATTAAAGGAACACATTGTGGTATTTGATCATGCAATTTGGGCCTCAAAGTGGAAGGTATTAGTGAGGAAGATAAAAAAAAGTCCTGTTCTTCTGGTGTAAGCATGTATGACTTTTCCTTCTTAAATTAGTGATATATAAATGTGTAACATGATACACCAAACACAAAGCTGTTTTTTGTTTTTACACTGTAATTTAAATGCAACTTTAAAGGGCTCATATTACGCTGTGTTATTTATAATGCCGTTTCCTCATTGTTGTTTTTTTTGTTTCATTCACACTATACAGGAAACTCCGTACACCTACATTGGAATAATCTGGATAATTTCAGCCCTAGAATTGCCAATCTCTACTCAACTAAATTAAAATGTAGCTGGTAACTTGAAAACTACCACTACATAACATCACAAGGTGGAACAGAGCATTTTGACATTGGGAGACATCAACAGACTAAAAATAAAAGGTAAGTCAAACATATGAGAATGAAACAAAACACAACTCATGGTATAGTATGGGACCATTAATGCAAATATAGTACTCTGATTGCACCACATAATGCAGGTATACACTGTTCTGCAACTAAACTGCAACATTTTCAAGTATTTCTTCCATCACTGAAACATACTATATTGAAAGACAGCATTATTTCTATTTGTATGTTAACATCCTGAATCCAGAAATCCTAGTCCTGACTAGTCTGTCTTGATATTTTCTCTGCCTCCACCCCTCCTGTAAACAGCTTTCTCATCTCAATAATTACACCTCCCCACCGCACCTATGGTATTATTCTTTATCACCTGACATAATAAACTCGTACCCCCTTGTTACCAAATTATATAGTTGCCATAAAAACTCCACAGTGAATGCACTTAGCTTAGCCCCCCCGTGATATTTGATAAACAACAGCATCATCAACAATTGAAGCCAAGGCAAATAAAAACATTGCATACACTTCTTTTAAGATGTTTTTTTTTTTTTTTAGATTTAAACTTCATTGTCATCATAGCTTTACCATGTATTGTTATTATATTAGTATTTCTGGTTGTTGCAATGAATTGTGTCTTTTTAAACAATCACTAATCACTACAAAAGGTTTAGGGATTATTTCAATTTAAAATAATCTGGAGTCTATTATACTTAAAAGGATCCATTGGCATCTTTTGAAGAGAAATGTTTAATAATACTTGGTGAATTAAATTGCTTTTGCAGTGATAAGGTTTTAATAATGTTAAGAAAATATGTTGGATTATCACATTTAATTTGTAATGTAAAACTGTTGTCTTTCCATTTCTTTTGTTTGTACTACTACTGCTGCTACAACTTCCACTTCTGCTACTGTATTTTCTGGACTATTGAGTGCACCTGAATATAAGCTGCATCAACAAAATTTTAACTAAGTTTTAAAATTGTTCATATATAGACCGCACCTGAATATAAGTCGCAGGTGTCCACGTCTTCAAGAACGTTTTCAAGTTCAGTTCATCTGCTTTCATCGCCTCTGAAAGCTTTTGTCGTCTTTTTTCATTGATTAAATTCGTCACGCTGCCGTCGCCAAAATCTCACCATCGACTCATTGATGCCGAGTTCACGTGCAGCAGCTCTGTTTCCTTCTTCCACAGCCATATCAATTGCCCTTAACTTAAAAGCTGCATCATTGTATTTTAAATAAGGAGGGTGTGTGTTAGCCTGATTCATCAGCCGGTTTTACTTCGTTTCACTTCGTACAAATTGTCTGACCTCACAGCCTTAGATTTTGTTTACTCAACGGTAGGCGGGTACTTTTTTAATTTAACCAGTCACTACTATTTGGTTGTGACGTATGTAATGCCCTGCTAACAGGTCTAACTGGTATATTAAGCTTTTCTCAAATCCCATATGAAGATGGACAATAACGTCTTTCCCCTTGATGAAACTCACCAAACATTCTCTTTATTCCGGCTTTAAATCCTCGATCTCGGGAATTGTTGACAACACTAAATATATCACTTTTTGCTGATTGGCTGGTGCCTGAACTTGCACTTGGCACTTTGCGAACTATCTATTGTGTTTTGATTCCTGATTCCTAGTGGCTGGAGAGAAAAGAAAATAAGCAGAAGCACTAGGTAGCGCCAGCCTGGCTAGGTGTGTGTATGAATTCCAAAACACAATCAAACAAGCACCTTCCTCGGCACATTACCCCCGTCTCTCCCCGCACTCTACGGCGCATGTCTCCAGCAAGAGTCTCTGTCCTGTCTGTATCATGTCAGTGTCTTGTAGGATTTCAGCAGATTTCAGACACTCCCGGGGACTAGGCTAGTTCTATCAATCAGGTATGAGTGGATGTTCAGCTACTAAAGTTTGAGACGTTTCTTCTTGTCATTTACGCATTCGGGTAAGATGTATCCCCCTCACTAATGTTCATTTAGCATCATAACTTATTTTATCACATGGCGATAAACTGTTTGAGTGTGCTGACAACATCACTCGCTGGTGTAGCAACTTGATGTTAACCCTAGATCCATGTTTGACCCGCACACACAGCGGAGCTTTCTGCACTCAGGTTGCATGCATCCGCTATGCTGCCAAACCATAGACCGTATATATGAATGGACAATGTGCCAAACAAAGAATCTGTCCATATAGTACCTGCATCATTTTATTGGCCGCATGGTTCAAAGTGTGAGAAAAAAGTAGCTGCTTGTAGTCCGGAAATTATGGTACTTAAAAAAACAAACAAAAGAAAAACAATACAAATATAATATGGCATTTGGTACTGTACATGTTCTATATTTTGAAACATTTTCCATTAATTTCCATATTATTATAAAAAGGTGCCGCAAGTCTTGTTGACATAGTCTTTGTAAATTAGTCTCCCGTATTAACCTTAACACAAACTCCCACACTTCAAACAAATGCAAAACTAGACCTGTTTGTAGTAGGTCAGTGCTCCGGTTCACTCTGGTCAGGTGACTAGGACATGTGCGTACTGTCTACATTGTGTAAGTTACACCACCTGTGCTCCCTGGCCGGCCTATTGCTGTAGCTACCGTCGCTACCATAGGCTCATCTGGGGCTATTTACATGTTTTATGACTCCAGGTAAAAGGCAGGAGCTGCAGACAGGGACAGGGATGGTGTAACAGAGGCAGGGGCTGGTAAAACTGCGGTGAAGATGTGCTGACAGCTGACAGGTAGGTCGGTTTTGATAGTTTATTCTCATAGACAGGACATGTGTTTGTGACTCTTGTGATGTGCTCCTTCTGCTGATGTTGTTATTGTAGTGTGCGCTTACCTCCAGAGGCTAGCTCCTGCTCGGGAGTTTTAAGTTTTCTGAAGAGTTAGCTCCCTCTCTGAACCGCTCTTAGGTAAAATGTCAAATACTGTTAAAAATATCAAGTTAGTTGTTCAAGGTTCAAAGATGAGGGTAGTACACAAATTATTATGTTACTTGTCTTAATCTGTGCGACAAAACTGAATGTATCTGACTACGATACTAATACAGACTGAACGAATTTTATTTCTTTTAAGTTTATAAATGTTGTTTTGCCATTTTCCTCAAACTCTATTGACTTTTAATACAAATAATAGCATGTTTCAAAAGTAAGTGCTGGTAATTAGCCCATTTATTTAATGATGGAGTACGCTAATTTTTATTATTTACAACTAGGCTTCTGCTACCACTCTGTTTGCTTGAATCCTTTGAATGTCAAAACAGCCGCAAGCTTATTGATATTTAAATGAAAATACCAAACCAAATAAAAAGAATACACAAAAAAAAATGCTTATTCATAGTTTAACATAGCCCTATGTTTTTGATGAGTCAAGGATACTCCGTACTTTGACCCCTTCTTCGAAACATCACGTCTCTGCTAATGATTTACCAGAGTGAAACTGTAAACACAACGCAACTTTCCAATGAACCAACTGTATGTATGAGACTTATTGTGTACTGTGATGACATTATATTTTGACTGACACCTGGTAATGCTTGATAAAGTGCTAGTGTTCATCCTATCACTTTTTATTAATCAGAATCATTTGATAATTCATTTGTTTTTAATGAAGGGAGAATTAGCTGCTAAAAGTGATTGACAGGACGCCTGCGGTAGCCCAGCAGCTTAAGTATTATTTTTCTAAATCTAATTACCTGGGATGACTGATTTAATACTAGGTGATAGCTCGGTGAATACGCGGCTGTTTGTGATTAGACGTGGAAGTTGAAAAAGACAGAACAATTTAAAAAGGCCTTTGAAGAGTGCTGATTGAAGATAATTTAAGCAGAAGTTAGATTTTTATATTATACTCTACAGTGCCCCTCACTAATCTTGCTGGATAATTGCTTTTAAATAAAAAAAAACAAAAAACACACACACAATTTGATAAAATAAAAAGAAAAACTGACATGAAAATCTAGGACTGAAATACAATATTGTTTCTATCTGTATTTATATCTAAAGATGATTTGTGCTGCTTTATGAAATTAATTTTGTTAAACTATGCAATATTGTCCAGCTTTTTTTTTTTTTTTTTCTTAATAATTGTTTTAGCTATAAAGGCTTCATTGACAAACTACGCTTGACTCTACAGTCTGTTATGTTCATCTAACAAGGCTCAGATGTTACTTGTGTGGCTGAGTGCAGTTGCCAGGGTTTACGTAGTTTGCGATGTTAAGAAGCTAATGGTAACTCCCATTAAAAATACATTAGAAGTGTCTATACCCCCAGCACTGTTTGAAGCCCTTAAAGAGTGTAAAAAAAAATCTTCAAAACAATAAGCTTAGCAAATTTGTATCTATCTTATGTAACTCTATAGCACTTTAACAATTCTGTCTGACTCAAATTAAAACTGAGGCTGTGTTTGAACCATTTAAACCAGCCAGTATAAATGAAAGGCTTGGCACTTTGTGAAGCTGGCACTCCGGCGTTCAGTGCTTGGTGCCGCTGCAGTCAAATTTACTGATAGTGTAACTGGTAACAGGTTATGCTCAGAAGAAAATCAGATTTTTACTCCCACACTGATTTTATGGGTAGATAGAAAGAGGAGTAAAGCTGCAGCTGTGAGGTATGGATTTTACTTTGATATATTGATATGCTTATTCCTATTATGTAAAATTGACTTTTATAAGCTTTTAACCATAGTAGTGTTTCCTCATCATCACTTTACTCAGAGTTGTATTTTGATTGATTCATGCATTTTTGAAGGTAGAGATACATATAGTTTGGCCCATACATCGAGCTGATATTTGGACTTTTAGTGTATCAGGTATCAGCCTTACATCTCCAGCACAAGCCAATATTATGTATTGGTTGATTTGCTGCCTAAAACATAAGCGCAATGTTTTATTTATTTAAGACTTTAATATGATGAGATAACTGCACTAAATTTGATACACCTCTCTCTAAAAGGTTTGTGGTTTAAAAGGCTGTTGATGAGTTTGTAGTAAATTAAAATTAAATAATTTGAAGAAAATAATCAAAATCTGTCCTACATATCGGCCCAAAAATACTGGCAGAGCTCATTGACCATCGGTTGCGCTGGATTCTAAGCAGTATTATGGTTCAAAAATGCTTTGTAGCCATTTTTAAATAATAAAAACACATGAAAAATCGCTGCTTGCTACACTGAAATACCATTATGAAGAGGCGGTTCTGCAGTTTTGAACAGAAGGTCAATGGAACTTCTATTATTAAAGGGTTTTAGATTAATGTTGTGATTTACAAAATGTTAAATATCTATTTACTTATGTTATATAATACACAGAAAAACTAATAAACTAAAAAAAAAACTACAACAAACCATATCTGTATAGTGCACTGTTGCAAGTATTTATACAAGCAAGAAAGTGTGATGAAACTATTTCTTGAGCCAGTGTATCTAAATTCAGTAATTTGTTATCCCCGAAGCTAACATCTGTGCATCAAGTGTCAGCCACGCTAACAACTGCGTGCGCCTGCATTAAGTCCACACATCGCCCGGCAACTCAAGCATGACATCATTTCTATTTCAAATAAGTAATTATAGGTCTACGACCCTGCCAGTCTCACAAGTGTAAGGCGCAGACCAGACCATGCATTGCTTTTCAGAAAGAATGATGGATGAAATGAATGCATTAAGCTCCAAGTCAGAAAAATGTGTAAACACAAATGTTCATAAAAAAACAAAACAATATTCAGCTGAAATGGTTTCTGCAAATAGAAACATTGATGCAGAATGAATAAAACAGTGTGTTAAAGTTTTAAAAGTTCACAAACAACACTGGAGATGCTTTTTTTAAACTTAAAAAACATCATACAACAATCAAATATCTTTTTTAGTCATAAACTGTAAAATTATAACTACTTGCAGTTCTGTAAGCTCCAATAAACAAATTTACAAGTTCATTACCCTTTTTAACAACAAAAAATATGATATGGTTCTTTTATAACCCCATAATATTTTAAAGTGGCATTCTAAAAGTAGGAGATTAAGACCCAATGTCTGTAAAGAACCGTTGCCAGCCTAAAAACTAGAAACCATTTCTAATCTTATTTGTTTTAAAATAAGCATTTACTTTTTCATACTGATCACCTGATATTAAAATACATCAGTTGTGTCAGTAAATACAATATTATATTGAGCATTATAGAGTTACAGTATATATACACAAAAAGAGATGTAAAATCCTAACTTTTACGTTTTTGCTGCTGAATGCAATGTCTGATTGTTTGTTCTTTGCTTCGTTACTAGCACACTGTAGAAGATAGACAATAACTTGCTTAGTTACCTGCCTGTTTCCATGAAAATGTTATTGATTTATCTGGAGTGTTCCTCAGTATAGCTTCCATTTGATCAATCTTGTATTGTTTTCATTACAGGTGTTTTTATAAATACTGTTAGTGGATTTACCGCTCCACTGTTCTGGTCTCCATGAAGCTGATAGTGTCTTAGGTAGTCATCTGGACAAAGTTTTTGAAACTTGTGTTTTTAAAATCTAGTTTCAAGGACATCTTTATTTGTCTCTTGGGAGAAATTTAGTTTGTAGAAATGAGTTTGCTGCATACAACACAGACACACATAACTACGCAATAGACATACAAGAAGAAAAAGAAGCTGTCATACTGTGGACCCTTCCAAACTATGCAAGGACATCTCCCTGGAGACAGGCAGGTGGTAGAACCTTTACCAGAAAAAAGTTACACAGTACATCTTTATCTCCCACAGATATATTTTTACAGTGTGTGGTTGAAGGTGCCTTCTGCTACGTGTTTGGGGCCGCTGTGTCACTGTTGCTCTGGTGAGGGGCTTATGACGGGGCCAGACAGGAAAAAGACAAATTGAAAGCTGCAGCACTGGGAGCATTATACCCTTCAGACAAATACAGCGGCCCTTTGTAACGCGGGTGGCAGGTTTCTCACTGCTCTCCCCTGCTCCCATACTGTAAGACGAATATCTCTTTCCATCATCCGCGGGCTTGAAATAATACACTGTTTTGTTCCCAGTCCCCAAATGCCAGCCATGCATCAGCACTTCTGTCCTTTCAATAGTTTCCCCATTTCTTCGCTCGCCACACACTGTTGGTGGTAGTTTCTTGGGGCTTTCTGTGGAATTAATGATGCCAGAAAAGCTGATGAGAAGTCTTGATTTACAAATGAAAAAGAAAAAAACTAAGAGAAATGGGCAAACTTAAGTGGCATTACTGCAATACAAGTTTTATGGGGGTGTTTTTGAAATCCGTAATTAACAAGTGCTACTACTTATTGAGTAAACTTAAAGGTGCACTATGTATTTTCAGTATTTCTCAATATTATTTAATTACTGGTGTTTTTATTGCTTGGCCTGGTGGCACCACCCGCTTGTCTCAATAGAGATAGATTTAATGATTTAAATTGGAACATTCCAAGCAAAGCAATAACATCATCAAGTAAAGAAGCAGTAAAGTGTAAAATTAAGTCTGTGAAACTTTTCACATAACTATAGCCTCACCGAGATCCACATAAAACATTGTAATCAGTAATCCGCTTAGTCCATAGTGCTGTAAAGGTGCACCATGTACTTTTCATGCGAAGACTTCAAAACGTTTAGTGTGGAATTAAGAATTATATCCAATTAAAGTCACAGAGGAAGCAGGGAAGGGGATACAATATTTAATGTAATTGCAATGCATATACAAATAGTAATAAAAAATTACATTGTTTTATGCTATTTATGTATTCAGTTTTGTCTCGGGGACTGCGGATGGAAATTAGCTTTGAGAACTATAGCTTTTGTACATGGTCCTAAATAATAAACCTAATCAGCTAAACTCAGTTTTCTGGTTGAGGTTCTTGATATTGTCTTTCTGGAAGATTCCACAGTATGGCATTAAAGTTATGTATATGCAGGGAAACAAGCAGGTGACTCTATCAGGTCAAGTTACACAATAAAACTGTGATTATTATATTTTCTTTGCAATCAAATGTCCAGGAATTGATAACTTAAAATGGAAAAGTTAAATGTAATGCAGAAGCACAAGCAAGTAGTGACCCCCCTACCAGAAAAATAGTACATCTTTATCTGTATATTATTTGTGGACTTGGATTTAATTTTACCTAGAGTTGTAGATGCTATTAGAGATTTTGTATTTTTTAGAACATTATTGAACATCAGTGGCTTAAAAAGTCAGTTGTACAGATGTGTAGTGTTTCTATCATGAAGTGCATTGACTTTATACAGTAGTGTTACATACTTTTATCATCATAGTATAAACTCACTTCAGTAAAATAAAAAAAAATGGAATAATTTGTTGCTCGCAGTCATAGATGAAAATGATGTGGAAACGCTCTTCTTGCTGATTTGCTCTCTCTCCAGAGGACCGCGTTTATTGTACTTTTTCATACACTCCAACTTGAATGCAAATCCTAATCAGAGCCGCTGTTGTTACTTGTTATCTTTTTCTTTAGATGTGGAATTGCAAAACAGTCCTTTGCTGCATGCTCGCCCACATAAACAGACTACTGCATACAGTCTTGTTAAAATATAGTTTTGTAGTTTGTGCCTTTATGAACGTTTTATGTTTTGTTTAAAGTTGCTGTATGTAACTTTACTGATGGAGGGTTTGCCACTTGCTCGTCTCCATGGAGATGTTATTACTTGTCCTAGAATGTTTCACTGTTTAGTTTATCTCTCTCCATGAGGACTTGGATTAGTTCTTGTTCAGTCCTCCAGATGTATTTCCGAGTTTAGTTCCAGTTTACTCCCAATTTTCACTTTGAAATCTATATCTAGGTATATTTTATTAGCCAGTTTGTTGATTGCCAGACACAAAGTCAAAATCACTCCTGATCAAGACAATACAATCTTGTTTTCTCAAAATGAATATTAACAAATGTTTAGTGATTCAAAACAATTGTAACTAATTTGTAATGAGTCTGAGGGATGCCTAAGGGGGCACAGTTTGGGAGGAGCAGTCGGAGATGCTGTTTACCCTTCATGCTTGACGTGATTGGAGAGTGGAGGTGGTTCGGAGCCATCCCTCTCCTGCACCGCACAAAAGACCAGGGTTGAAGTCTGTGTTTACAAATGCAGCACATACTCAATTATACAAGATGGAGTCTAGTGTTGGCACGTGTGTAGGGCACCAATGTGATGATCTGGGCCACTTTATTACTGTAGAGTGGAATGTTACAATAACATGAAGCCAATACATAATGGTGCAATTTGCAGCAAAACAGTAGATAGAATACATTATCAGAATTGTAAATAAGAATCTGCTTCTGAGGTTAAAACAGTTGTCATGTTGACAACTGACGAGAGACATTTTGCCTCTCATCTAAAAAATGTATTTGCTAAAGGTGCAGTACCTGATCTTTACTGTCTTAAAAACTTGAACACATAAAATGTTTTATTTAAATTTTTCACAAGCTCACAAAAGAACAAATGTCACACAATTGTACAGAATATATTATTATCTATATCTATCTATATATTTTATTATTATGTAAATTATATATAGAATTAAATTTAAACATTCAGAAATTGAGTTGAACTTTGTCTATTGCAGTAAACAAAACATCCTTGAATGCTCTGTAAATAATGTAAAGATGCAGAGTACAGATGGATCCTAGACAGAGGAAATGGAGCACTAAAAGGTGCTACATTTGTCAGGACGACCCCCTCAGGCTAAAAAGTGCATCTGTACCTGCCCTGCCTCTGTATGCACTCCCATCTGAGGCCTCAGCGGACCACAGAGCACTTTACTGTACAAAATGGTTTAAACACAGCTAGCACGACAACAAAGTGGTTTAGTGTTGTTTCACATGCAGTAAACAATGAATATAAAATATAATGATGCTCAGATAACCAAAGAACTGCTGTTACATATTGTACATTTTGGCCGTTTGATCCATTATATTTGCTTGTTCAATTTTAAATTCAACGCTGTTCCTAAAATATTCACAATTAAAGTAGCCAAAATTGTGCTCAAATAAGAGCTCTGTTACTTTAAAATAATATTATGCAATAAGAAGTGTAGCAGTCCAAGAAATTACAAGTAACAGTAACCAATTGGCAGACATAACTATACTCAAATAATATTGTAAGAACTGTCTGGATGCATCTGATTTGAATGAAAATGTTTTTCAAAGCCTAGACCACAAAAGTGAGTACTCCAAATCAAATCTATACAATATGATATCGATAAAGTAACCAAAACCTTTACTTAAGTACTGTTACTGTAGTATATTTTAAATAGGAGTAAAAGTACTGTGCCTGAAAACTGTGCCTCTCAGAAGTACAGTTTTAATCTATATCAGGCCAGAACCAAATCAAAACTGAATCGTTACCATCAATTATACTAACACCATTTAAAAATATTAGCTAAACTTTAGGTACTCTTCCGCATAGTTCTCTGTATGTTCTCTGTTATTAGAAATGATGTGTATGACGTGAATGTGTGTTGTCATCTCAGCAGCACTGTGGAGTCTTTCCTAAAGGTCACATTTGATGCAGACGAGGTGTAAAAATGTCAGGGTGGATGTATTTGTTTAGGAGCGCTGTAATCTCGGCTCGGTGCCTGGTAAAAGCTGCTGTAAAAGTTTTAGTGCCAAAAGTAACACGCTTGTCATTTATTTAACTCGGATAGTGATTCATAAAAATATGGGTCTTGGTCTGATAGGGTTTAAATACAGTGATGGTAAGTTGGGTAGAATGATTAGTTATTGTTAACATGCATATACTGCTTTGTTATATTGTAGGAAAAAAAGAAACAAATAAGGATGCAAAATTGAGTTGAAATAATCTTTACACGCTGTTCACATCTGTAAATGTATTATTTGAGATTTAAGTATTACAAAATCTGAAATGACTGTACAGTTACCTATAAAAGTGTAGAAATATTACATATATTGGTCAGTTTTTTGCTGTTTATCGTCCCTTCTATAAAAGTAATTTTGTGTAATAAATTATGTAAATGTAAAAAGATGTTATTTTTTTCATTTTCTCCAAGAAATATATTGGATTTTTAAAAATGTGTAACCTTATACACCTCAAACCACCTAACCCTTGTTCTTATAGTTACAATATTAAAATATAAATTGGTGACTGTACAGCCTTGCCCTGCTGAGCTATGAGCCGAGGTGATAATAATTCTTTGAAACAGGTGCTAGCCCCAAGGCCGGGTTAGGAAGTGAATGATTAGTGGCACTCCCCTTCAAGATGCATGGCTCCTCTGTATTAAAACCAAACTCTGCCTTTCTTTATTCCCTCCAGGCTTTGTTATTAAGTGGGCCGGGTTGCCATAGCAACGCTTTGGCAGGATATTGCCGAGGATCAGCCGTAATGGGTCTCTCGACGCAACTCACTCTGCTCCTGTGGAAGAACTTCACTCTACGGAAGAGACAGAAGGTACGCCACCAGCAGCCAGTCAGCATCGTCTAAAGGGCAAATTGGACCTGCAGAATGAGGCTATGTCCCTATGTGGCATTATCAAGGGCAACTTAAGTTATTCATGGGAGGGAGAGGTAGGGATATACTCCGAAAATGCCTGTCTATAGATGTAAGCTGCTGCGAAGACTCCCACTAGACAAAGGGACCAATCTGAGCCTAATGCAGACCAATTCCAAATGTCACCTCCAATTTGTGCAGATCCGTCTCCTGTGTGGGTTATGTCATGTAGCCGGGGTTTTACTTCTAACAAAGCCCGTTTTCAGACCTAACAAAAGCAGATAGGAGCCAATGTAAATGTTTACTCTGAAGGGCAAATACTGCATTTTCTGCCACACTGACATCACCTTAAAGTTTGGGTACCCAACTTTTTTTTTTTTTTTTTTGGGAAAATGAGTACATTTTGTGTTTTCCCCCACAGAGTATATTACAGCAATACTTTGTGACAAAATGAGACCACTGCTTGCCTTCTGCAGCTAATCCGAAATTAGAGCAGAAAGCAATGCTCTGATTGGCTGTGCTTGGGTGATCCACCCCAGTTTCACTTTGCTGCAGGCCCGGGTCTACTGGGGTGCAAAATGTTTTATTGCAACCTCATTTAATAGTGTTCGCACCCTTGTTTGAGGCATGTTAAATAATAACTTGAATACATCAGTTTGGTCTGGACCGTCTCTGCTTTCCCTTCTGAAAAAGCTGCTCTGAATCCATGTATGCACTCGAAATTGAATGTGTGAGGATATTAACAATGTACCAATGGGTTTTGAGAGGTATGAATGAGTTAGACAAATTTAAATACCTACTCCTGCTTCTGCGGTGTGAAAACCAAGTGTACCTTCAGTGTTCATATTTGCCTTCAGTGTCCATGTTTGCCAAAAAAGAAAACAGCCTCTCATGATATTACTGGAGGCCTCACTTGCTGTGAGTGAGAGGTCACATGACAGGGTAATAGTCACACCCAGTGCCGGCAGCAGGGCAGAGGCAGCACTTTGTCACTGAGTCTATGGCACTTTGGGAGCCATTGTGAATCTGCACTGTGTTCTTCATTCAGAGATAACAGGGCTCAAACACAACCACTTGTTTTTGTGAGGGGGTCAGGCTACCAGATCAGTTTTGTGTTGCCAAAAAGAGACATACACTACCTCTGGGGGGGCGGGGGTATTATTTTGTAACTTTGCAACCTTATAGAAAAAACAAATATATTGCAGTTGAAAAGCATTGTAAGAAAATTTGAGTTTTAGATTAGATTTTCAGCCTTTTTTAACTTAAACATACATTCACTAAGTTTTAAGTGTTATATATTGTAATGAAATTTATTAAGGCTGTATCCCCTGCTTAGCCTCCACCAGAAAAATGACATAGTGCACCTTTAAATAAAATGTTTTATACAGTATCTTTTATATATCCATATGACTTCTTTACTGTATAATAACTTAATATAACATTTTTCCCCTAGATATGCACATTTTCCCAGAATATGTGTGAATATGATGTGTTACTTATATCACAATCTGAAATAGTGTCATTAAACTGAAGCAGAGAGAGTTGGACAAGGACAATTGTAGTTGTGGAGGGCTCGTGGAGGTTAATGACCAATTACACCAATGCTTCACCAAGCATTTTAACATTTTATAACAGGCATGAAGCAGATTTTATGGTCCAGTATTTCCCATAATTCCACAGGAGGAGATTATCTGTGCACAAAGACGCCTCTGTCCGATGGCAAATGCCTAGGGAGAGAGACACTGATCTAGTCTTCCTCATGTGTGCCTTCCTCGTCTCATTCCTTTTCATTGGAATACATTATGATAATTCTAGCTCTCCGCGGAACCACATTCTCTTTGACAAATGCGCTAGAGGAGTTTCAAAAATTATTCAAATTCCTATATAGGTTCTCTGAAATATGTTGTATGATTTCGGTAATTTACACCTCAGTGACTAAATATCTCATTTTCCGTAGGGTGCCATAGTAGATTTTCTCACTGGCATCAGTCGTCCATCTTGATTTTAAAAGATTAAATTTAACAGATGTGTGCATAGATCAGGCGTAGCACTACAAAAACTGACAGATAAGGAATATAACATAGATGTACAAATCCAAAAATTGTCAAGTTTAAAAAAAAAAAAAAAAAGGGTTTATTTGCCTATTTTTTTTCATACTAGCACCAACTTTCAGAGCTCAGATTTTTAACAAGCATTCCCAATCTGTTGCCTGTTTAGCTTATTGTAAAAAGTAGCCAAAGGTTTGTGATTCAATTGCTGCATGTTAATTGGTGGCTCTGCTCAAGACAAGAGTTCGAACAAGTATTCATAACAGCACGCCGGGTTAGTTGAGGTTAGTCACCAGGGCTTTGAGGTTGTGCGAAAAGTCAAGCAAAGACCAGTCCTTGCATTGTAATAACTCATTAAAAGTCATCCTTTAAGAAAATCCTGCTCTCAAACAAGTGAAATGAATGGGCTTAATTAAGTTTGTTTGGACTGCCCTTTCTTTTAATGTCACATCCTATACCTTGACTCATGGGGTGTTATTTTGTTATTTTGGATTGACGATTTTAAGAATAAAACTATCGATTAACCGTAAGAACTGTGATCGAGACTATTTCAGAAGCAAAAATAATTTACATCAATTCAATCTATACTTCTTTTTAAAGATGCACTATGTAACTTTTCTAGTAGGGGTTGCATCATCTATTTGTCTCCATGGAGATGTTACGGCTTTGCCTCTAATATTTTAATGTATTTATCTTCTTTTTATTTTATCACAGTGTTTTTATTGCGCAAAATGTTGGAAAAAGATGCATTCTTACAGTAAGCAGGGTCACCTCTCCACAGATCTGACTTAACTTAACCTGATTGTGTCACCTGCTAGTCTCTATAGCGATAGATTAAAAAAAAGTTACATAATGCACCTTTATTTGGCGGTTTATGTCACATTTACTTTATCGTTCAAGAAGTGACTTCATAAAACTGGGCACATGCTAAAGGAATCTATTAGAAAGTATGAATGAGAGTGAATTAAGGATTTCACGGTTGTTTAGTCTTGGGTTTGTGAATAAGTGCACAATCATGATGTATCTTTTTACTTTAACTGTAGCACTTAAATTTGACATCCTTACTTGGCACTGTAACGAAACCGCACGTTGGTAAAAAGAGGAGAAAATGCACAAGAATTTGTCATGTGCAATGTAAAAAAAAGAAAAAAAAGAAAATAAAGAAAAAAATGTTGGTAGAATATCGCTCAAGGCCAGCAGCAGGGAAATGGGAGAAATAACCTAGCAACCAAATAAAGCTTTGAGGGCACCCATTCAAATCTATGTGCACTCTATTCCCTGGGGTTCAAATAAAGAGAAGCATGCAGTGTCCCATGAGACCAAGGCTGCAAGCGAGTATTATACTAGCTCTGCCACAAAAGCAAGGTGTGAGTCACATTGGTAACACTCAGAGGAACTGGTTCTTTTGTACTGAGAAGTACGAGGTTTTGAACTCCAAGTAACTGTTTTCCAATGGCATCAATGCTCCAAGATCTTCTGAATGTGCTTCAAAGTATAAACAACACCTCACACTAAGAAGTCAATTACATTTCCAGAGTGTCATATTCAAAGATTTTTCTAGTAAAACAAAGAAAAGAAAGTGTTTGGGATTCATAAGTAAAGCCGGAAACGCTCAAGAGCAAGTTATGCCATAGCTGGACTTTATCTTTTAGGATATGTAACTTTTATGATGGGTTTATGCCACCTGCTTGTCGCTACTGAGAAGTTATGGTTATGCATAAAATGTTCCCCAGTATAGCAATAAACTCTTTCTCTACGGAGATAAACAGGTGACGTCACTAGGTCAAGTTACATGTCAAATCTGTGGAGCGCAGCCAATCACAGTGTTGCTTTCAGTGCTTACTTCCAGATTGAAGAAGAAAAAAAAGTTGTCTGCAAACATAGTGTAGCAATTTCATTTTGCTTTTACAATGTACCTGTACGTGTTTGGGGGAAAACACAAAGTTTACTCATTTACAACAACAACGACAACAAAAACCCTCAGGTACCTCTTCTTTAAATTTAGAAAAAAATGTGTATGCTCCTGACCACGTGGTAAGCATTTTGGGCATTCCTGCATCATAAAAAAGAATACTTACACATTTTCCTTTTTTCTTTTTTCTCAGTTGCGACTTGTAGTTGAACTCTTATGGCCACTCTTCCTCTTCGTCATACTGGTGTGGGTACGCACCACTACCCAGCCGGTTAACGCAGACCAGTGTAAGTGACGCAATACAACGATCAAAGGTGTTGACACAAATGACGTAGAGATAAAGGTGTTTTTTGTGTTTTTTTCCCTTTCAGGTCATTACCCGAATAAGCCTATGCCATCAGCCGGAGTGTTGCCATGGATACAGGGAATGGTGTGTAACATGGAGAATCCCTGCTTAAACTCCCCAACACCAGGGGAGGCTCCGGGACAGGTCAACAACTTCAACGACTCCATGTAAGTCTTAGTTCTTGTGATAAAACGTACTCCATATTGAGTAAATAGAAATATAATATAAATAATACAGGAATCATGTCTTTTGTTGTGTGTTTCAGTATCTCTGGCATCCTGATTGAGCTGCAACAACTTTTAGTGAACAGATCCGTTCTGAGTAAGGCGAAGTTACTGGCTGATGACATGAACCAGTGGAATTTGCTACTGATACAAAATAGTAACAATGGTAGGATTTTTCATTGGCTAAAGACTGTCCCGATTTTTTTCAAATGTATTTGAGCAAAATATGTCTTGCCTAAGTACAAAAATATTCTACAACAGAAAAAATATGTCCGCTGTGTACTGTCTGCGACTCATTAGAAAGCATTCTACTGGTAGATAATCAGGAAGTCCACATTAGTATGCTAGTTTTTAACATCACCGTCCTGAAAAAATGTGGAAAAACATACATCCATTATGCTGAGCTTGCATTTCCACAAACCTGCCTATCAATTACTCTTGCTTGTTTCTGTGCAAATGTTTTTTCTTTGACTATAAAATTCCGCAGTATGACATAAAAATGTATCTATCTTTGGAGAATGTTCTGAAGTATGGTCTTAACTTTGATTTCGATGATATTAGGAGACGTGCCACCTCCAGAAAGTTACATGGTGTTTTGTAGACATGTCATTGGTACTTCTCTTAAATTACTGTAGTGGAATGAAAATAAAGCAGAAGGACAACTGCCTCATAACGGAAACGAGGTCAAAGAGTTTCCTTTCTTGTCATATCAGTGCTGAGTCATGCTTCAGCAATAATTGTTATTGTAAATGCCGCACTGTTGTAACGTCCCCCTTTGCTACATCTTCGTTAAGTGCTCTCCATCAACAAAAGTATCCCCTTCACGGCGATGACAAGTCTGACGATTTGTTATTCCCCTTTTATTTCTCCAAAACAATGCCGTGGGAATTATTTATGGTGCAATTCGCCGTTCGGACTGACAGATAGTTTGTCTTGATAAGATGCTGTTTTGCATTAGCCTAATTTAATCTGATGATATTCAGATTTTCATACGGAGTTTAATTTGCAAAGTAGCACAAAGGGGAGGGGCCGGGATGGTGGTTGGTCGCCCCGACGCTGTTGGACAGTTGCCTCGCAGTTCATTTGCATATTCGGGGTCGTCGGCTAGTAATATACAAGATTAAATCCATCAAAGATCAAAACCTAAGCATAATTAATGGGATTGTCTGTCTGTAGCTGGAAGACTAAAGGTCATTGTAGAGAATAGGGGATGGAGAGCTACCGGGAGACTAGAATGACAGGGGCGATTGTTGTGTCCTCTTTTGTTTTTACCAAAGGTTGATTAAAAGACTAGGGTGGTCACTTCAATTAGAAAGAAGAAGAACCTATGATCCTGCTACACAACCTTCAATAGATTTATAATAACAACACATGTTTGGATCAGAAGGTGTGCAAAGCAATATCAAGACAGATGTATAATTAATTCTTGTCAATCCATGCTATTCAATTTCCCCTTTGAATAACTTAGTAGTCGAGGGCCACTTCTGCTTCCTCGTTCTAATAATGGACTGATTTCCATTTATTACATCTGCAAACGACTAATCTAATTAAACAATGTCTCTATCACGGCTCTGGATCGGAGAGGACCCACAGAGCATGAATACACTTGAAGAAGGACCTGCTTTATAAGAAGCCATTGTTTTGTCAGACCGAGGATGCGATGAGAAATCAATTGGGTTATTATCAGATTCTGCAGAAAGCTAATGACTGTATGTTGCATGTTTTAGCAACCGTTAATCAACAGTTTGGGATTTAATGGTAGTAATTTTTTATATAGTGCTTCTCAAACTGTGGTATGGCAACCCTGTACCTTCTGGTTTTAACTTGCTAGAGTAGTAAGCTCAAATTGGGTAGTTCAGGTTTCTAATGACCCTTAACTTGAGTAAAACCTAAAAGTACATTATTGGTGGTCTGGTCTGCCACATGCTTATTGCCATGGAGACTGCTTTGCCTCCTAGAATGTTATGTATTGTATTAAACGCCATCAGGCTAAGTTGGAGATCTGATTTGTGGTGAGGTCTGTCAGCTCTCCATAACTCTTACTACATGTTTAAAATATATGTTATAGAATACAAGAAAAGCAAAATTAGTAATGCTAAAATACTACCTGGCACTGTGGAACATTCCAGGCAAATCTAGAACATTTTTAACAAGACTAGGAATAGAAAAAAAAAGTGAAAAAATAGGAATTTTCAGTCTCCCCAGGGCTTCCATAGACATTGCCCCACAGTCGTTACTTTTCTTTTAAGAAGTTAAATTGCATTGTTCTTGTCCTCAGCTCAGCCAGTGATCCTGCGTACAATCCTGCGGGAGAATGAGACTTTTTCCACATACCTGAGAGACGATCTGTCTGTTCCACCAGAAGTCATCCAAAGCCTGCTCAACGCAAAGATCAATCCAGTGAGTAGCTTTTCACAAATCTGCTGACACCCTATAATGCATACAAATGGCCTCATTCAGCTCCCTTCACTGCGCCTTTGCCCCAGTGGTATGCGCCCCGATAGGCTAACATCTTGCACTTACTTGTATTGCAAATCAGTGATACCATGTTTGGTATGATGTGATTGAGCTGCAGCTAACATCGTAATACATTGACTTAAGTGAAATTAATTGTCAGTCATGATTGTTATGGTGTTTTATTAATGCAATGGCAATATGACCAAAACCAGTGATGTTGCATTGTATCAATCAGTCACAGTGTTCATTTCCATTTCATTTAGTCTGTTAAAAACAAATAATTATTTCTTTCAATTTAGATTTTTTTTTTTTTTTCAGTAGAATTTTAATGCTAAGAATGTCCTGAAACCATTGGTTAAAAAAATATGTCTGCTATTTTTACCCACTATTGTACAGATCAGCAGTATAGATATTCAGGATAAACCATTAAACCAAACATAAATGACTTTTCATTTTAAGTTTCCAAACATAAACAATACAGAATTTGCATAATTGCTTTTTAATATCCAAAAATCTGTCTGAACTCTGTGGCTGTTGACATCTAGGATTAAAGACTGATCTTTAGCAATTTGAAATAAATAAAACAAAAAAACAAAAACAAAATCTCACTCTCCAATTAAAATATGAATCCCTATAGTGTATTACAGTGTTGATAAAACAGGATAACACTTGATGTTCCCTCTGGTACTTAGAACCTACTTCTTCTTAGTACAAATGTTGACTCTGTGGACTTCATTATAAAGTGTCCCATTGTCCCTTGACAAAACAGCAGTTCCTGTGCCCATGTCGCCTACATGTTAGAGTCATGTTCCCACATCTAAATCCCAGCATACATAATTATGACGTCCCTGTAATATGTATTTGTAAACTTTAATGGAAATTACAGGGGGAGTCATGATTTTCTTGGCCGCATAGATCACAATTCTAATTTCATGACAACTCATACCAAGTATCCCTCTAGTCCCAAGATATTCAGTAACTAACACCATCCCCTGCTGCAATACGTAACTGTTCTGTTGGGGGTTATACATGTTTCTATGGCAGTTTTATTGCTTTGCCTGGTTCCACAATAGCATTATTTTTATCTATCTACATTTATTAAATTGCAAGTTTTTCCATTGCAATACTTTGTAAACATGTATTAATACTTTGATTGAACTCACCTGTCTACAGATCTGACCTATAATTTGACCTGGTTGCTACCAAGTCAAGATCATCTCTATGGAGATTTTGAAAAAAGATCATTGCCATACTAAGAAACATTCTAGGCAAAGCTTAAACATCTCATAGGGACAAGCATTTGGTGGACTCTCCTCCAGAAAAATTACGTAGTGCACTGGTTACTGTGACTGGGTAAATTCACCTGTCACTCACCTGCCAGAACATGACAAATCTGACTCATAGGAGAAATGGGCTTGAGAATGGGTGAGGAAAATGCCAGTTTTAAAGCAAAGAAGTAAAAAAAAAAATCACTGAATCAGTTTCACCAAAAAGGCATATAGTTCTGCATAGTACACAAATGAGAAGAATTTTCATTATTGTTATTATTTGCCCCAGCCTACATTAATTTTTGAATTGTAAGTCACTTTTAAATTCTCAATATTAGAGGGGCCTAGTATTTGAAGAGCATCTGTCTTTTAACATGATTTGATATCTTGTTATAACCGACCCCTCCGATGCAGTCTCCTGTATCTTCTCTTTGTTAGTTTTTGTTGTCAACTTTCTGTATATTCCTTAGAAAATTGACATCCAAACACCTGAGAATCTGAAGCTTGTCTTGTGTGAGGGGACTGGTCTAGATGACTACATCCAATTTAGCCGCCCGGACGAGAGAGAAGCCTTTCAGAACGTCAGCTGTTCCCTGTCTCCGCGGCAACTGATTAACGCACAACAAGCACTGCTGCGAAACCTGGATCCAACAAAAGTGGTATCCGAGGTAACAACAAGCTCATCTCAAAATATGTCGGACACTTTGAAACTTGTGGAAATGTTTTGGCGAAAAGTGTGTGCAGTTGCCAGCCTGTTTTTGAATTCTCTGCAGCTTGTCACCATTAAATCAGAACATGTTTTTGGTTTGCCTCAGATTCTAGAAAAAAACTAATGTAGTGAGCTGCTGAAAAAGAATACAAGGACATCACTGTTATGCTTCTGTTAATTACCCAATATGAAGTTATCGATCTCATCAAAGAACTGATTAATTAATCTGATTGATTTTTACAAATTTTACTTCAGAAAAGATATTGCACTCAAGATGTAACAAGTAAAACTACTCTACTACTTGTTTTTTATGATTGTACATTGTAAATACCTTTATCCCGAAGGAGCAGTTGCCAGAGCTAGTGCAGCGTCTGCATCTCAGTGGGTGTATTCTGGAGATTCTGAGCTTTCACATGAGGCCTGTCCATATACTGAGAGTGAGAAAAAACATTTACATGTCCTCTATATGCATGTTAAGGCACTGGCAACCTGGATTCAGTTTTTTTTTTTACTGTAAGAATACAAGCTACATATAGTTCCTTTAAAGGTTGTTTGGAGGATTTATTTTTTTTAGTTTCAAATTGTCAATGAAAGTTTAAAATGCCATTACAGAGAAGCAGCAGCCTTGTGATTACGATGACCAAAAAAAAAAAGAATGAAAATCTATCAACTGTGAACGCAGTGAGGCCAGATAGACATCAGCCAATAGATAACGAGGCTACCTCATTTTCTATTGGCTGTTAGGTTGTCAATGAAACTCCCTACATTTCTAGTGTGACTGACTTGCTGGCGCGCAGGGGTTATGTGGTTTATGAGGCGGTTCTTAGCGGCTTTTTCAAACTGTAGCTTCCTCGCAATTCGCACAGAGTTTGTTGAGATGGCAGACAAGAATCCACGACGATTTCGCCGCAAAAGAAAGTCAGTTTTTGAGGTCGCTGAAAGAAGAAGAGAAGGGGAAAAGGAGCAAAGCCAAACTGAGGTGATTCTTGGAGATCTCTTCCAACGATTGCGCGAATGAAGCAGACGAAAAGTCTAAAAACTGTTGTGTCGATTGCTAAATTAATTCTAGACAGGTCACTTCAACAGTAATTCTGAACGCGCATTGGCTGTAAACAAGCGTGATTTCTAGAGTAAGGAGACAGGAGGAGATGTTTCTACTGAAGGAGCTGTGCAGGAGGAAGGTGGTGTCATTCATGCACAACATTTTAAAAAGGACTGTCGCTGTATTTCTTTTCCCTTAAAAAATCCTCTATACAACCTTTAAGAACATTTAGATACTGTACCATTGCATACCATTGTGTCCTTACCTTGGGCAAGCTGGCAACGTGTTTATGAATATGGTGTACACATGAGTATATGGTGGTGGTCAGATGGGCCAATGCCGCAGATTGGCAGTCACACTTTCGGCCGTCTAACCCAGGGCAGTTGTGGCTATATAATCTCTTCTCCCACCACTGAGTGAGGAGTGTTTGTTAAGTTTAGTTTATTTATTTAATGAGACGGGGACAGTGCACAATATACATTAACGTTAACAGGAGAGATGCACTGTATCAGGTTGTAGCTCCAGTGCTAGTTTCCACCTATAATCCCTGTGCAGGTTAATTGATTGATTGTATTTAATTGACCTTAACCATCAGCTATTCTTCCTGGAGACCTATGTAGCGTGTTTTGGGTGTGAATGAGTAATGCAATGGGAAGCATGTTGAGTACCTGGAAAGCCTCTATATAAATCTTATTGCTACATCCTACCAATGCAGAAAATATATTATGAAAACGTAAAGGTGACTGCACAGTGTAATTTCCTGCATGAATATTACACCAATTAGACAGTAATATGAAACATTTTCCCCAGATTAAGGAAGTTCTGGAAGTAGACACAGTGCTGCTAATCTCTCCGGATCTACAATACATTTAATATAATTACAATTATACTCAGCTCCTACCAATTTAAAAGTTAAACATTATATTTTTGTCTCTACTGTAAAAAGAATGTAATAGATAATGGATTTCCAAGCAAATTCCATTACGCCTGTTTCAAATTTTAATATATATACATTCTGACAGGTTGAATCAAAAAATAATTAGATTTTGTGTACCGTATGCTGATTTTACGGGAATGCTCGAAATTATTTATCAGAATCAATGTTTTCTCAAATTCCTTTAAAAATCTCTCAGTCCCTTTTGGGGATGATGAAAGCCTGCACACTCTCCTTTGAGTTTATCTTTGAGAGAAAATATATGGGACAGAAAATCCAATAAATAAGTGATAAGGCAGGAAGTTCGTAGAGGAGAGCATTTGAACAATTTAAGCCCTCAGGCATTTTCAAACACAGGAGAAGAAATGGCGCAGACAAGATACGCTATGGAGAAAAAAAAATCCTTGGCGCCTGAAGCAATGGATGGGAAAGAACATCAAATCTTCACACTTAAGGCTTGACGGTCGCAGAATGGTTTTGATAACAGACAAGAGGAGGAGCCAGGGTTTAAGCGTTTATTTTAGATTTTGGACAGGGAATGTCTGGGGTAGATATAAACCTACGTTCGGATATCTCTTTTCTGCAGATGACTTCATGAACGTATACATTTGAATCAAGTGTTTTAAAGGTGCCCGATGTGTAACTTTTCCGGTGGAGGGTCTGTGGCCTGTTTGTCTCCCATGATGTTATTGTTTGGCGTGAATTTTCAGCAGTATGGCATTAAAGGGCCCATATTGTGCAAATTTCTGATCTATGTTATAATGTTGTTTCCTTTAAACCTATTTGTGACCGTGGAGACAAGCAGGTGACACGATCAAGCCAAGTTACAGGCCATATTTGTTGAGAAATGACCCTGCTCACTGTAATAACTAATGATTACAAACATCTCCTGGACTGAAGAGCTTACAAAAAGTATAACATTTCAGAGTCTTTTTTGAAAGCTTACACTGCATGTTTTTTATTTTTGTTATGGTTATCCTGCTGTAATGCAAGTTTAATTTGTGTCTCATCAATCATAAAGTTACAATCTACTTATCATCTATCCAAGTTGTTTATGTAGTATACAGAAGAGTTTGTACACTTTAAATATTGTCTCTTTTTCCAGACACAATCAGCTCGTCAGGATCCACTATCCACTGCTGAACTCTTTCAACAAACCATAACAAATGCAGAACCGGTATTGGAGGCTGTAAGTTACACTAATAACTTTTTTATAGCAGATTTTATTTCCAATGAACTAATGCATAAAATTTTCTGTATTTAGTTTAGAGAGTTCCAGAATTCTCCCAGTGTCAAAGCTGCCCGTTCGCTGGATTTCCGACAGGACATGTTTGGGAGCAGCAGCATGCTTTTGTGCGGGACAGAGTCCAACTCCAATGGGACAGCTAGATCACGGTCCAGCTATGCCAGGGCAGGGTTCAGCATCTTCTCCGTTTTAACCAATGACACAGGAAACAATGGTTCAGGTAAGACCGTACTTAGGCCTGTCACCATAACACATTTAGATAAATTATATATCAAAATAAATTAAAACATTGAAACTACTTCCTACCATGGCCTACCACTGACAAAATAAGTGAGTGATATTGTAAAATAAAATGACCATCAATAAATGGCACCAATAAAAATGTATGTAGTCAGCGTTAGTATCTATAATGTGTCCTGGAGGTAAGTGTGTCTCAGCTAAGGCCATACTCCACAAGAACCCATAATATGATCCATTACAAGTGTTGGCATTAGTCCCAGCTAGTGATCGACTGATATGTTTTTCCCTTGGCCAATACTGATGTTTTTTTTTTTTTTTTATATAGAGCAGGTTAAAACTCTCTGCTGATATTTTGAGATTGATATATTCATGGGTTTCAGATTCCTGTTTTATGGAACATTATTAGGACTTTTTCCCAATTTAAAAGATATAATATTTAGTTTTAAATTGTTAATTGCTATGGAAACTTTTGTCATTTTTCATCTTTCTGGGTCCAATTTTGATAATTTCGGTATTTTTACTCTAAACTCAGTTACATTATTACAAAGCACTGCTCTGCATAAGATGTATGATGAATTAAAATATTTCTATAGCGATGACCACTGCTCTGTCTCTCTGCAGACCTGTAAGAGAGCAGTAGTTACATTTATAGGCTGTTTATACTGCACTAAAATGTTTAAACAAAGCAAAATATTGGCCTATGTTGAAGCTTTAAGGCTGATAGCTGATATGCAAAAAAGTGCAAACATCGGCAAGTCACAGCCAATCAAAATTCCCTTGTTAAGGTCTAATAAAATAAAATAAAATGTCAGTGATGGTTGCAAATTGCTCCTTCCCTCAACTTAAAATTATGCCATTAAATGACTTTAGATGAGCTGGTACGAATTATTTTGTGAAGTATTGCATCAGCCCTCATTGGCACGTTCGTCAGTGGTGTAATGACTAACCATAACCAGTCAAAGTAAAAATATCTCGCCCCAGTGCACAGAGGCATTTTATTCTAGCAAACCATCTCGACTGCTTTAAGTAACAGCTCCCACAGTGATGAGTGTGGAGCTCAGGGAGTCTTGTGAAGTTTATAAATTGTAAATTGTGAAAGTTAATATTTCTGTTCAGTTTTTAACCAAGATTTAGTGCGGGTTGCTCCCTGATATGGTTGCATGTGCTTCCATATTTTAGTGAAAGAAAGAATGCTGAAATCCTACATTACTGCTTTCGTCTAAATATATATTTCTAGGTCTGCAACTACGGATCATTTTGATTGTCAGGGAGTCAGCAATTATTTGTTCAATTAGCTAACTAGTCAGACCATTTTTTTTCTATAGGTAATTGAACTTTAAACCAAATAAATGCTTAAATATTGCATCTGAATAAAGTACAAGTCACATTTATCCTGATTATTGTTGCAGCCCTATTTTTTCCTGTACAGTTTTGAATACTCACTACACCAATCTGAGCTCATGTTTTTGATTAAAACCACCTTTACCACCTTGAAAACATGAAAAACAGAATTAGTTCATTTAAAACGGTTTGCAGTGATCCAGAATTATTCCTCACTTTCCTTATGCACGCTGAGTATCCCAGTTATTCACCACAATGAATTTATAAGCTTTCTTCACTGCCAGAATGTAGTTTTGACATCATTGTAATGTGGCCAACAACTAGCATGGTAACCACATATTTCCTGATACTCTGTATAATGCACTCTTCATAATTAGACTTAGACAATACACAGCCAGTATGTTTTGACCTGAAAAGCTGCGTATACCATATATATCTATTGGGGCTAGACGCGTTTTCCTCTAATACATGGGGGGAAAAAATGGTACGAGTCCTCTCAGACGTACTACCGTACATAAAGCTTCCTCACAAGTAACTGTCGGAGCATAATCATGTCAGGACACAATTACAGTTTTCTCACTTGATCTATCTTTCGATTAGGGCGCCCCCTGGAGGGTATTGGATTATTATCCCCCACCTGAATACTTAAGAACAAGCCCAGACCGCGCTCTGATGTTGATACATGAGCCTGTTCCCTCCAGGTCTAAAGAACTTTTAATCATTTCCCCTGGAATTTATTTTTAGTGTTAAGGAAAAAAGGAGCATGTCCACATGGGAATAAGCTACTTTTTGTTTTCATTTTTAGTGTGCAGATGTTTGTAGCTTCCTTGGCTTGTAGATGTGATGTTACGTGTTATGTGAGGTATTACATAGAATAGAGTGACTGTTGTGTACATGGCTGAAGAATCTTGGAAAAACATTTAATTGATTTCTGATGAGCATTGTGATTAGAATTGTGGTTTATATTTAAAAAAGTAGGATGCTGCACATTGGAAACAACTCCAGGTGCCTTAATACTGTATGAGTGAGAAGACTGAAATGCGTACTGATAAACTAATCCAAAAATGAATTGAAATTGAAGCCTAAACTACAGGAACAAAAAGATTACAGGATATTTTGTTCTTTGCAGAGGACATTCTATTATCTAAATAATTGTATCTTTTGATAATTGCGCCAACTCAAATGATGTTTTCTATGCAGTTTCAATATATTATACAGTCCTACTCCAGAATTTGCAAGGTTCTTATAGCGTTGTCCTCATTAAATCCTATGCCATCCTGTTTCATTAACTATCTGTTCTTCAGAGAAAACTGCACAAAATTACATTTTAATAAGGGGCTTCTATTCCCAGGAAATAACCCTGTTCTGTGAAGTGAAATTGCATGCTCGCGCCAGCTCGAATTAGCCAAAACATTTTATCATCTATGCAAAATACGCACTAACACGTCAGTTAGCATGCTAATAGCTGTTTTGGATACGCCGTGGCATCTCATTGTGTTGGTGTATGTACGGTTAAATAAATGTTGAAAATGCAGCATGTCTGTTTAATGGCCAATTACAAGTCCTTTGTAAGTGGGAAAGCACTCAAAGGGATAGTTAAGTGGCCATAATAGAGACAGAGTTTTGTAAAAGGTTTGGGAAGTGTCCCCCCTCTCCAATTAATCCCAGGAAACTTCCGGAGCATTTCACAGAGTCATCCAACTGTTCCTCTGGCACAGTAAAACAAAACTATGCACCATACTATTTTATGAGCACTTTTATCTAACTGCAGTTCCTAAGATTTGCTCCCACTGCTTTTCCCATTATGTTGTCAAAACAGCCGTCCCTCTCATTTATATGGGCCTATTTGCCGGTTGTGCCTCTCCCTCGGTATCGCTCATAACATTTACTAATCGTCTCCGCGCTCTCCCCCTCTTCCTTCAAGTATTTGCCTTTCGGTGTCTCTTTGAATAATTAGTCTTTTGTTTTCTGGGATTGGAAGTTTAAGTGCAACGTCTCTGTAGCCTGTCGTTCAGTCTTGAGTGGAGACTTGTGCTGGACTGCGGTACTCAGTGGTGATTCTTCATGGGTTTTTTACCAGATAGGGAGATATTCCTTTTTTTTCTGTCTTATTAAGCCCTAATAATGGATTTCAATATGAATTTTCTAAACACAAATCAGACGATAAAATGGCCTGTTCACATGTGAAAAATAATCTAGTGATATTTTGTTTGAATGTGTTCTTTTCTTTTTTTTTTTTTACCTCAGACAAAAGAGTTGAAAAAGAGCTGGTGAGTTACATTTCTTGAGAATCTGTAATTCCATAAACTGGATAGGAATAGTGATAGCAAAAATAGAAAATAAATTAATAAATAAGGCCTTAATTGTGAAATGAACCATAGAAATGATTTAATATATCTAAAAAATGTTAATCTCATTCTCATGGACCCACTTTGACGTCTAATCTCGTAGGAATTGTCTTGTCCCATCCTTATACTGACTTTATATTAATTTCCTTTTAACACAAAAATTGTCAAATATCCTCCAAAGTCTGAACTCTGCTCCAAGCCACAAATCTTTTTTACTGACAGAGGATTGGCTGTGGCACTCTCAATTATAAAACCCCAAGCTGGTCGCTGACAATTTGAAATGACTGAAACTCGATTTGATTAAAATCTGTTTCTATATCTAGTTGATTTGTACATATGGAAAAAAGTACCACAAAAGTATTTTAACATGGATATAAACATTACTTCCTGTGTGTACATCTGCTTGTCAGCTATAGCGTCATTTCTTATGTTGGGAAAGTGTCAGTGATTGGTTGTCTTAGCATCTGTGGTCTTGTCTGGCAGCAGCTCTGATGAGGCGGTCTCCAGGGTGCGACTCAAATTGATTAAATTTGCCAGGTAAGTTGAGGGGCAGACTGGAGGCTCCGAGCAATTATTTGACTGCAGCTGAATCCGGCCTCAAGCACAGAATCAGATGTTTTGTATCATGACTCACTAGTGTCTTTGAATGACGTAAAGAAGGTATATTTAGCATAACAAAAGACTTTCATTGACCAATTCATGAGTTTCAGTTTCCTGTTATATGCAACATTCTCAGGATTTTTACCCATTCCAAAGATATGCCGTGGCAATGGTCTTTTTAGATATTTTTAACAGTTCCCAGTAAGCCATGATTCAATGTTAGCTCTATATTTTGTTATATTATATAGCATGTTATATAACTTATATATTTTTATTTTCTTATTTTAATAATATCAATGTATTCAGTTTCAATACTTAACAGTACATTATTCATTCATTCCACACATTTTTCTCAGTGGTCAGTAGATCACATATGAGCAGGGTACATCCAGTTGTATAAAAACACTTCTATATACTGAAAGCTGAAAACAGGTTGTCGTGAGGATAATTCGCTGCAATGCATTTAAAATAATCCACTTAATCAACAAGTAATTTAAAAAATCTATGGATGGGGACGGAGCGAGGACATGGTAATTAGAAAAGTCAATTAGAGAAGCTGCAAGGTGCTGTTTGTTGTAAAGTGAAAAACACTGTTATTAGTTTGATTTGACGATGACTTCTTGGAATAGAGGCTGTACACATGTCTGCTACAGCTACAGCTACGTACATAAACAAATATTTAATTTATAATAGTTTATAAATGAATCAGACATAGACATAGGCACAATGACATCAGACATTCCTCTCTTACCGTATGCATTTCGAGCATCCTAATTATTCACCGCAATGAGTTTACAAGCACCTTTTTTTTTTTTTTTCAGTGGCCAGAACCAAGTTTGACATCATAATAATGCTAACATCAACTAACATCCATGCACTTCTTCATTATCTGACAATAAAACAATTATAATTAAATACTGTACACAACAGACTTCAAAAACTGTTTTTACCATACATCTGTACAGGGGCAAGACAAATTTTGCTCAGATACATGGAAAAAAAATTAAAAAATAAAAATCAGGTACAGGCCCTTTAGTTATGAGATTATAAATTAGGGTTAGGGCATTAATTAAGTAGATAATTCTAATAAACTATTTGTTCATTATGAATTAAGTCTTGGTTCATGCTTCATTAAATCTTAGTTAGCATACAGTGGTACCAAAATGCTTGAATTGTTTCAACCTTTGACCATTATAATAGATTAAGAATGCAGGAACATTTAGTATACAAAATGGTGTCTATAGAAGGGCTTTTCATTGCCTGTGTCTTGTGTGTTGAGCTGGAGGGAACAGCTGGTCTTGCTCCAAATAAAGGCTAGCCATTAGCTCGCTGCACACAGACCTCCCAGGAGCACCTGAGAAAGACGACCAGCAGGCAGAAAGGCTAACATTTAATTGCACCGAAAATGGCCTCTAAAATCTCCCTGATGGTGGGAAAATGGTCGCTCGGCAAAATGAACAAGAAGAATAAATGATATTTGATGTAATGACAGGTAGGGCTGTTGGTACCAGTTGGGAAAGGAAAGGTATTGTTTGCCAAATGACTCAAAAGCCTGATAGGATGGTATATTATTAAATATTATAACAATAATCAAGTACCTTCAGACTCCAGTGGCAGCTCTATGGAAATCCTCATTTGACCTGTTCTCTGCTCTCCCAACCCGACAATATTCGCTTTGGCAGTTATGCTAAATTAATAATGTTCCAAGCCCCACTGCATGGGTTTTCTGCGCCTGCTAAGTCATGAGCACATTTTTTTCCTTGTAGTTTGACAGTGTCTTGTGAGGTGGGCCATATGTTAATTAATTACTTTGCCCCAGCCCTTTGCCAAGGCAGTGCCCCTGTTTTACACTGACCACAGTTAGATGCGCACCAAACATCTGATTACTATAATCTGGAATAATTTCCGGAGTTGTCTAATTATTGAAATGTCATGTAGATCTCAAGATCTGATGTAATTAATCTGATTTCTTTCTGATCGTTTGCACATTTTCAGAAAACAATAAAAATACAGTAAAAAGCACAGGCAGTATGAAGATTAATGACAATATATACAATATTAAAACAACTGTAAAAGAACAATTACTGTTTTACAAATAGGTACTACAGTCACAACTGAACCGTGTGTTTCCATCTTAACTTGCAGATCGAAAACTCACAAGTTTTTCTTGGTATATGTACAGGCCATGTCTCTCATGTGAAAGCTCAAAACCTCCAGAATTCAGCACCATGCTGCATCAGCACTGATTAATGATGGCTGCAGGTGCTGGGGTTTAGGTAGCGAGGCTTCAGATCAGAGAGAGGGCTTTTAGGTTTAAACTAACTGGATTTCAGATGGCAACCTGAATTAGAGACTCATGTGAGACTCATTCTGCATTCTGATTGGATAATCCTCTTGAGAGCCAAAACACCCATTTACAACATAAATAAATCATGATTTATCATGTTTTTATAATTAAGAATAAATCAGCATAAGAATTTTTTATCAGTAAAAGCTATTCACCTTTATCTGGATGTTGCTGTGGGCGCCATCATCATCATCATTCGGGATGTGTTATTTTGCATGAGGCTGCCGTTCCTAACAGCAAATAAGTTCAATATGGACGATTAAACCATTTTAAAGCCTCTCAGTGAATTGGTGCCGTGTTGACTTGCTGGTGCACATGAACATTTAACATTTTACACAAGTTAACCTATTTTATGTCATATTTAATTGGCAAAACTTTGATCAAATTGCCATTGACATGAATGGGATTCCCGTTTAACGAAAAGTGCCCCAACAAAAAAGCACGGTTTAGGAGCATTTGGAGACAAAACTGGGCAAGCTCAATAAGGTGAATATTGGAACACTGAATTGATAAGTCTTATTTATGAAATTAAACATTTTAAGAGTGGTATTTTAAAGGTGGACTTTGCAACTTTTTTTTTTTTTTAAGAGAAATTTTATCTAAGACTTTGGAACATTCCAGACATTCCACATAATGTTCATAGAGATAGGTGGCCAATCTGTTATTTAACTGCTTAAATTATCAGATTTTTTCTGACCATGTGAATGTAGCCTCTAACAGAGATATGATTGCTCCAACTGTATTGAAACTGGCAGTCTTCTATTTCAGGAATAAATGCTTTTTACACTGAACCAGTCAGAATGTACCTAAACAATGTACAGAATTATTTTGAAATAGTTATAAAAATATGCTTTGTTGTTAATATTGTGCTTCCAAGTTCATAATACCTGTCCTCTTTTCCCAGATGCATTTTGTCAGAGGCTGGTTGACACCCTGGAGGGAACACCAGCGCTGCGCTACATTTGGAGCACCTTTAAGCCGCTCATACAGGGAAAAATCCTCTACACACCTGATACACCCGCTGCTCGGCGCGTGGTGCAAGAAGTGAGTCTGCTCAGATCTACAGATAAACAAACTGTACTTTTATAAATTGTAATAAGTGTAGAGCAGCTAGAATATGCTGTACTTGTTTTACTTTAAATGACACTCAATGACGCAAATTATGTTGTTTGTTGAATCTTAGGCAAACAGCACTTTAAACGCCTTGGCCATGTTAAAAGAACTCGCGGATTCATGGGAGGAAGTTGGGCCTCGTGTGTACAACTTTCTTCAAAATAGCACTCAAGTCAATGCATTTCGGGTAAGTTTGTAGCATCTATCACAGAGCTCATCAGTCTTCAATTCAGTGTTTCCCCTTCATTATTTTTCATTAAAGATGCATTATATACATTTCTGGTGAAGGGTCCACTACCTGCTTGAATTTATTCTTGTGTATTTAATGCTAAAATATTCCTTGAAAAACATGAATTCTTACTGTGAGCAGGGTCACCTCTCCCCAAATCTGATCTGTAACTAAGCCTGGAGGCAACACCTGTTTGTCTCCATTGAAAATGATAAGTTTAATCCTGTACTTTGGAACGTTCTAGGTGCAGCAGTATCTCCTCTCAAACAATTAGGTAACAGACCCTCCACTAGAAAAGTTACATAGTAACAATCAAGGTAATAACAGAAGAGAAAAAATATAAGTTCTAACCTCACGCGGTCACTAAGCTTTTGTGACTCGATAATAGACTTATCCCTAAACAAGGATATTCTGAGATCAAGGGCATCATATATAGCTTATCATTGCAGGATAAGGCTAATACTAATTCCCTCATTATTACATGTTGTCATTTACGGTACATACATAGATTTACATAGCCATTGCTGTTAAGTGACCTTGTACGCACAAACAGTGGAATCCGCACGGGGATCTACTGCACACATTATGTATATTAATTTGTGGCACTTGCTATTATATGCGGAAACAGCAGGGGGAGGTAATTATGGATAAGTGCAGGATAATTTTGGCGGTGGCAGAACGGATTATCTGCACAAGTAGAGGACATGGACACTTTGCTAGCTTCTCTCTGCCTTTCGCTGTATTTCCTTGACACCGACATCACTCCAGTGTCACTCCAAATGAGCTTATAGGCAGCAGCTGGAGGGGAGCAGACACCGGGCTCTCCGTACAGCCCGAGTATTCATTACCCTAGCCCTAACCTTTACACAAATGGGCCGGCAGTCCTCCTTTGTCTTCATTTTCTCTGCCTCGGCCTCTCCTCTCTCTCCTCTCTCCCTCCTCGCTCTCTCCTCGCCCTTTCCCTCCCCGCCCCCACCCCCGCGCCCACGCTCCCAGCGGTCCGTCATCTCCAGAGGTCGTACAAGGTCGCAGACGCGTTTTACGTTGATGGACCAATTACCATCACAACAACGAACAGATCGGAGATAGGACAGAGGATGAGGAAGGCCTGGGCCGAAGGACATTTACTATAGGGACATTGGTATCGTTTACATCTAGCAGTGTCTTTATTTCTACATTACATTTAGCTTTACGAGTGAAAAGTACTCAAGTGATATGGTAATCAAGTATAAATATGAACAAAATTATTTATAGCATTCTTTTATAGATAGATAGAGACAGATAGCCATAGAAAATTCAATACTGTCAAGTGAACAAAAGTTTGAGCTAATCCAAGCTGCTTCTTCAGTTCTGACTGAATTACATACATCTTATTATACTACACTTCTATATACCACTAGTATAACATAAATCTTTTTGATTGCAAGGTGAGCATAATAACATTGGACAAATCAGACAAATATCAAGTTTTTTGCTGATCCAATCTGAGAAACTTCAATCAAATGAGGAAAACATCTCTTGAAACTTATTATTCATAACATATTGTATTATATATATTATAAAAGAACTAGTTTAGTGCTTTGCTTTTTGATTCTGTAGAAATCTGTGTTTCTCTGTCCCTTTTTTTTCTTTCTTTTTTACTTGTAAGCCTCCAAGTTTGTTTAGACAACGAACCATGCTTTCTCAATAGTCAGTCTGCCTAACTATCACACCCATCGAAACTTGGACCCTACCTCCAGTTGTTTAAAATAGAAAAGTATTTGCAAATTATTGGAAAAGTACGTAGTCTTGGCAGGAATATTACAAAATCTCATCACATGCAATAGAACGAAGCATTGATTGATATTCAGCAGATTTATTCTCAGTAGCATTGTGCATAAATATTAATCCCCGTATTTGTTATTCAACCAAGATCTCAGACCTCTGCCTTCCTCCCTCTACATTGTGACGTTAGCATCCCAACCAGAACATATAATCTTGTAAACAAGTCCCACATTTGTCTTGATTCAAATGTACGTGACAGTTATATTATCAAGGTTAATTTTAGCCTATGTAATCGCACTGTTATTACCGCTACAATGCCCTACCATTACTTGGGCGTTAATTTCTCCGCTGAAGGCAACTATGCAAATACAAGGTGGGAGTAATGGGAATGGTTGTGGCTACTAAATAGAGTTCAACACATTTAACCAACAAGTTGGAGGGAGACTAGCTTATTATGCAAAAGCTAATGTGTACTGATCTTACAAGCAGGTTTTTTTTTTTCTTTTTTTTCTAGCAGCCAAAACGTGTTCCCTGTATTCATTTATTGTTGCGGCAGTGGGGAGGTCGTCTTTGCCCTCACATCAAGAGCGCCGCCTTCAATTATTTATCATATGATTAGTGCAATTGCAGTTTGATCCTCCAACCTCACATTATAAGGCCCGAGCTTGATCGTAGCAGCATCGAATGAAACGCTGAGGCAATGGCTAGCTCTAGTTTTTAAGATAGCTTTCTCCCTTGGGTATGTATAATACTGTGCGCATGTATTGCTTTTTTGTTTACAAATAAAGAGGTTACTGGTACAGTAGTCATGTATACAAAAACAGCTGCAGTGGACCCAGATTAATGGCTGTACAAAATAAATTAGTGTTCTTACAATACTATAATTTAAGTATAAAGATTTCAAAAGCACATAATATAATAATGATAATATAATAATGAGGAGTTCTGATTAGGGCTGGGTATCATTCAGAAAATGTCGATATGAATCATACCTCGATACCTAAGCCACGATACGATACATGTCTCGATGCAGTGAGCTTACGATTCAATATGATATTTTTCAAATCGATTTGATACTGTTCAATAAAAAATAATGGCTAAATCATGGCTGTGACACTAAAAGTCTTTGTTAAACCACTTCTTGTCCAAAGTTCATATGAAACACAAACATTTTAATCATCAAAACAGTTGTCAATGTCAAAATGTGTTGCATAAATGAGTTTCCTTCCACTAAACAAACAACAAAACTGTAGCACTGTAACAAAATAATTTAGTGAAATATAACAAAAAATAGTCTTGGCGATATATCGATACAGCAGCCCACAATATCAATACTGTATCATCACATTAAACAAAACGATATTTCAATATTTTGCACACTCCTAGTTCTGATACCTATAAGTTTCAGAATGGTGGATTATTATGAACATCGCCATAGTGATTAACAATTTAATACTAAATAATATAAATATAAACTATATCTTTAGAATGGGGAAATGCCATGAAAATATCAAGATCATACTAAAACTATTTAGGAATTATAAAAATCTGTCCCTCTTCACCAACCTCAAAGTTTTTAGTTTATTATCTATTTGACAATCCTAAATTATATGATGCACCAGAAATTAATTTATCATTATTATTATGTTATTATTATCACGAGACCCAGGACTGCAGACATGAACCCTTAAGACAATGTGATAATATTGTCCACTGCAGTTTAGTCCAGTCCAGTTTGACTGTGGTTCCATTGTAGGGAGTATTATACATCTGGTAATGTAGGCCAAGATTATTACGTAGAACAGTTTTTTGCAATTTCTTTATCAATTATTTATAGTTTTGTAACAATGTTTTTATTCAAAATTAGAGCTTATTGAAGAACCGACTGTTTGCTGCACTTGTGGACCAGCGTCTCAGTGGAACCGGATGGACTGCAGAGTCACTCGCCAATTTCCTGTACAACGGACCCCCAGAAGACCGCCCCCCTGGCATGCCACAGTATGACTGGAGGGACCTGTATCAAAGTCTCACAGAAATGTTCAAAACCATCTCAAAATTTCTTGGGGTAAGACATATTTTTATTACGCTTTGAGTGTAATTGGATTTTCAGCTGTTCACATAATATGCAGAAAGCAAGCGGTTATGGTGCACTGTTGTGTATACACACCCTGTTTCTCTACTAAATGTCTCTCTCCTCTCTTCATTTTATGCTTCTCTCTATCCTGTGTAATAAAGCATATTGGCAAAAAATAAAGGAATAAAAACACATTGATTTACTGAGCAAATTGTAATTGAATTTAAATGTCTTCTGAAATGACATAAATAGTTCATATTGTGTCTTGAGAATATGGGCTATGAACTTGATCTCACATAAGGTTGATTTTATGTTGGATAAATAATAATAAAACCGTAGACAGTGACAGCCAAATTGCTATTCAAAATGCTATTCTTTCTCCCTTATTCTTTTTTCCTTCCAAATGCTGCCAAGAAAAACTGGATATTTGCCTGGAATTGGTATCCAGTTACGTGTGGCAAGTTGTTTTGTTTTTTTTAATGATTTTGCAGTAAATGTATGGCATAATACGGCAAAGAAATGAAGAAAACTTATCTCTCATAGTATAGCAAGATCTTTGACTAAGTTTCACAGAACAGATCTGCCATATTTTTTGTCTCAGTAGTGCTCTATTAAGTGTGTGAAAGACTATATGCACTTCCATACACAGGTAAGAGGTGTGATGGTTTGTCTATGTGGTCAGTGAAAGCCTTTAAAGTGCCCTTTTCTAAGCCTTAATGAAAGCTGTATTGTAGAATAATGGATTTGAGAATGGACATGGCTGCATATCAGATGATTTTTTGCTATTTTCTCTCTAAGGAAGTTTAGAGCTTCCTTTGTTAAGGTTGTACAGTTGAAAAGTAAAAGAAGACAAGTGCACCATCGTGACCAAATTATGTTGTAACTAGAAAATTGCCAATACATATATTTCAATTATGTTCTCAGTCGAATCAATTATATTTGCTGTAGATCTCAAATATGTATATAAGAAAAAGTCAAATTTCTTCCTGAAGTCTTTGGCAGTAGACCTCTTAAAAAGACCCATACCACTGACAGTTACAAATCACTAAAGCTTGGTTAGTATTGGATCAATTGCACAGCCCTTTATGTACCATTAACTAGCTTTTTGGTAGCAGGAAACAACCTTATTATATCAAAAAAGGCATGAAACATCAATGTACAGTTTGAAAAGCAGTGTCTCCCCTTTAGAACTTCCCTATACACCTGCATTTTTCAGTAGTCCATTCCACCTTAAAAGTTCAGGATATAGTTTGGTGCTGAGAAGGATGTTGCGTCACTTGCGTTGAGTGAAGGGGGCAGACTTACTGGTTTTCCAAAGTTCTTGTCCTTGTCAAACACATGTCCATCCTGTTTCTGTTGATGTCTGACAGTCTTTTGACCCGTCTCGCACACCGTAGACAGGGGCACATCCATTTCATTCTGGATAAGGTTACATAAACTCTGACACCAACTCATGTTCGAGCAGGAGCACCATGTTTATAATGAGATTCTACAATAACTACACACCTGTGCTATCACTCACTGACCTACACAGCATGATGCAACCGTAACTGTGCTGCCGCCGCTGCCCAGGAAATACCAATAAATTAGGTCAAACCCAACCCAGTACTTGATAGAATTCTAGACATATTATACACTGTCAAAACACACACACACACATATATAGTGCAAACATTATCTAAACTTTTATTTCATCACATTCATTATGAAATTAATTACAGTCTAAAATTAATACTAACTGAATATACATTTAAAACACTGAACACTGAAACAAATGTTTTCAAATAGTATCAAGTTAGCAAACACTGCAGTTATTCTTGTAACATGATTCCCTCTTCAATAGGGGTGTGCAAAAATATTGAAATATAGATATATTGTATTGTTTAATGTGATGATACATTATCGATATCGTGGGCTGCTGATATCACCAAAAGTATTTTTGGGATATTTAATTGAATTATTTTGTTACAGCGCTACAGTTTTGTTTGTTTAGTGGAAGGAAACTTGTTTATGCAGCACATTTGACATTTTCACTGTTTTGAGGATTAAAATGGATGTGCCTTTATTTTTTATTGAACCGTGTCGAATTGATTTGAAATATGTCATATTGAATCGTATTGAATAGAAAGCTCACTGTATCGAGATATGTGTCATATCATGGCTTATGTATCGAGATATGTGTCTTATCGGCAGTTCTGAATGATACCCTGAATGATACCCTGAAACAAGCATTCAAAATAAATGAACAAAATAAATGATCATGTTAAAATGGAAATACTGCCAGCATTTTATAAACTAGTTCTTTATCAGGTTAGACGCATGCACCATCAGTACCAAACTTCAAACCTGTCTCCCTACTGGCCTGCCATTACATCCTCACCAGTCTGCCACAAACAAACGCAATTTATTTTTTCCAGCCAAACCCAGATCCACAATAACGACTTGTGAATTTGGGAATGACAAAACTGTTGCAGCAGTGAGATGTGCGGACAGCTGTCAGGAGTGACTGGCTCCCGGGACGCCAAGCTCATTAGCGCCTCATGAATGGTGGGCAGGGGGGCTACAGAGGAGGGGAGAGACGGGGGTTTCATTTCAGTCTGCCTTTGCCAGAGCCCAAACCATTTTCCACCCTCTGGCAACACTAAACCATTTTGAACTACACTGGTGGTGAGCTAGTGCGCTGCTAGTGATGCTATTCGCTAAACAGCCATTTGCCAGCGTGTCATGTCATTATTACATGTTCTCTGGAGCTGATTTTAGTTAGTGCTAATGTTGTCCGGGTTAGTTGGTTGGTTCATTGGTCATTGTTGGCTGATTTGTTAGACTATTGCTGGGACAATTGTAAACATGAACGGTTTTATGGTGTTTTGGATGTCAGTAATTTATTATATTTGGCAAAGGACATGCTGGGTTTCTTGTAGGGGTGTAACAATAATCTAAATACTGTAAAAATCCTGATAATATTTGGGGCTACTACAATTGGATCACAAGAAACAAAAACAGAACTGTTTCAAAGTGTAAAGAAAGTCTGGATAAGTGATTGCAATTAGGTGATCATTACAGTATTTTTGCAATATATTTTTTACCATAACATTTAACCCTAAACTACTTAATTCATAAAATGGACAGCAAAAACAATGCACTGGAGCCATATCCTATCCCCCTGATTTGAGTTGGATGTGATTGACAGATGGATTAATCAGAGAAACACACGATTCATTGTTTATCATAACAAAAATGGCAGCTTATGAAAAACTGAAGCGTCAACCTTTTATTTATTTCAGGGAAAACAAGATACATTTTGTTCTGAGTGATACAAGAATTTTGGAGAGGAAATGTCTTCTGCATTTGAGAGCCACATGCTACAAATTAGCGGCTGTGGTTGGACCGTATCAAATTAGGACGCTCTGCAGTCCGATTCCAGGCCCTTCTGGATTCAAACAGAATGCAGAAGGGACTGGCTGGTCAGGCCACTTCATTGCGAGACATCTGTTGCCTTGGAGAACGCTTCTGCTTTCCTAGCACTTTCAATTCACTATTTTCTCATTGTCTTGTTATGTACTCAACAGTGTCTGGACCTGAATAAGTTTGAGGCGGTGCCAACAGAACGACAGTTGGTCAGCAGAGCGTTGGACCTTCTGGATAATGGGACATATTGGGCTGGGGTTGTGTTTGAAACCATTAGCACAAACTCCTCTGAGCTGCCTCTCTACATGAAGTATAAGCTCCGGATGGATGTTAATGAGGTGGAGAGGACCGATAAAATAATGTCCAGGTAAGAGCCAATCTTGAAATGTTGTCTAATATGCACCAAAATAATGGAGCCCACTGCCATACTGGGAAAAGCCTTAGCACATATAAAATAAATTATTTTATTTATAATTTTTTTCCCTGCATGTTGTTTTGGAGATGTTATTGCTTTGCCTGGAATGTTCGTCAGTATGCCATTAAACATGTCTGTCTCCATGGAAACAAGCAGGTGGTGTTAATAGACCAAGTTACAGGTCAGATCTGTGGAGAAGCAATCTTGCTTCCAGTGAGAATGCATGATTTTCAAGATACTTTTGTGCAACAAAACCTATGACATGAAATAAATGCAAGATAGATAAGCTGAATGACATCCCGTGGAAAATTTCAGGCAAAGCAGTCTCCTCTCCATGAAAAATACCTAGAGCATCTTTAATTTACAGCTTCTTCATCAAAGCAGAATAGAATGTGCCCATTTTACAGATAAATCCACGAAAATTACCCCAGCTGTTGACTTTTAATACCCTCATCTCTCTATTCAAAGAAACCCATCTTTTTACGGTCATTTAAACTTAACCAAGTGAAAATATGACCTTAGAAAATCGCTGTGTTATCCCGCCAGTATTTTTTGACCAGTGAGTCCGCAGTTTTTTTTTGTTTTTTTTTTGTACCTGGCATTTGCTAAGACAGATCCCTTTGTGTCTACTTTTAATAAGGTCATGGTCTCCTGGGGCTCGGGACAACGCCTTTAATGACCTGCGCTATATATGGGGCGGCTTCTCCTACCTGCAGGACATGATAGACCACGGCATTATCCGCCTGCACACGGCCACGAACCAGACGCTCGGGGTGTACGCGCAGCAGATGCCCTACCCCTGCTATGTGCTGGATGAGTGAGTATCGTATATAGTTCACAGCTGACAAAACTACAGTGGGATGATGTGTAAGACCCGGAACTTGTAGTCATAAGTGTACAGGCATGCACAATAACACAGCAGTCTTCACCTTACAGAAAGTTCTCCACTCAAAGTATGCTCAGACTTATGTAGTCACAACAAAAAGTCTAAATGTGGATGTGTAGAAATTAAGCAACATTGTGAAACTTTCTGGAGGTGGCACATCAACTCGAAATTGAAAGCATACCATACTTTTGAGCATTCTTCATGGAGATAGATTAGCATGCCATACTGTGAAATATTCTAGCTAACAGATCGGCATTTACATGGAGACAAGCAGGTGAGGGCCCTCCAGCAAGTAAAATAAGTCAGGTTTGTGGAAATGCAAGCCTCACAGTAAGGGGGAAAAAAAAGAGAAAAAGAAAAAAAGCTCAGTGGTTTTTTAATTAAGTGTGAAAATGGACAGACGGCAGATTTGTTGAGGGCAGACATGCATTCATTTGTAGACAGAGTTCAAGTCTATAAAGCCAGAGTCTACTTAAGCCAGAGGGGTAGCGGGTGGACCATCCAGGATAGGGTAAGTGTCATCTAGGCAGGTGACGGGTCCTCTAACCAGGTGAGGGAAGGTGGAGGATCTGGGTCCATAGGTCAGGACTGAGGCAAAGGAGAGGTGATCTAAGGTCAGATTATTACTTGAGAAGCTAGTAGCCAGAGATGAATAGCGAGAAACAGACAAAATACAAACTAAATATTTCATATCCTGTTATAAAGAATGTAGGAGGAACTTGTGCTACTACTGATTATGATTTCATTTATGCTTCCAATGCCATGTGTAAATGTTTAGTTGCTTCTGTTGCTACTCTATTACTACATTTAGGGGGTGAGACTTAAGATTTAATTGATAATGAGTTCAGACTTAGTAACTACTTAATTAATGCTCAATTAATACTCCTAACCTCTTAATTCTTTAAATGCATTACCTATTTCTTGACTATCCAATGACAATCAGGGTAGTCACGGCATCTTAAAAGTCTTAACAGTCTTAAATTTCATGTTCTTAAATTAAGGCCTTAAAAAGTCTTATGTTGTGAAAGTCTAATTTTTTTCACAAAAGTCTTAAATGTCATTATCCTATTTTTTGTATACCCAAACGGGCTGCAGTGCACTGTTAATTGGAGGGAGGAACAAAAAATCAATAACGTGATGTCATGTAATGTGAATGATCATCTAATTTGAACTATGTGGAAACAATATTTTGGTGTCTGGCACCGGTGGCAATGAGTAAACAATCTGTACAGTGGAGGAAGACGTTGGATGGATCATGGGGAAGTGTAGGTTTAGATTCTAGATATAGTAGTTGGTTGGTCATTATTAGAATTGGATCTAGTGTTTTTCGCCCGCATAATGGGTGCTGTGTTGGTCTTAATTTTCATTTAAGTGGTCTTACAAAGGTCTTAAAAAAGACTTAAATTTGGGGTAATCAAACCTGGGGATACCCTGGACAACAGTGTTGGGAGTAACGCGTTATAAAAGTAACGAATTACAGTAATGCATTACTTTTTGCTGTAACGCAGTAATGTAAGGCATTACAGGGGAAAAAATAGTAATATTTTACTCGGTACAAATGTGAGTAACGCGCGTTACAGTGTTTTTTTAACCTGGATTGAAGTGGTGGGTTTTTCTTCATACAAATTCGCTAAAATCACCTCGATATCAGCAGCAGTGAAACGCCGGAGATAGACCTTCAGGTAACCGCGGGCGAAAGGACTGACAAAGAACTCCACGCTGTTTAGACCTGGTTTAGACCTGGGTTGGTTCTGGTTTAGACCTGGGTCAGTTCTGGTTTAGACCTGGTTTACACTCGTCCCTCCCTCTATCGCAGTTAACTTTTCGCTGTCTCGCAGATTTTTTTATTGTTTATTTTTTGTGCAATTTTGCATGCCCTGTTTTTTTAACATTGTATGAATGCGTATTGCGTTCCTCCCGCTGCGTCCTGACTGGCCAAGGGACTCCTGTCTCCTGTACAGTACAGTACAGAATGTGTTCAGCTGCCAAATTTAAATACATGTTTAATCTCTAGCAGTGTGATTCTGAAGTGCTGTACGGTTGCAAGTTTTCTCCCCGACGAAAACCCACAACGTCGACGAAACGTTCTGCACCGACAAAGGCTCCTGCGCTCGCACCCAAAAGGCAGAGGAAGATGCAAACCATCACACAAAAAGATGGACTTCTGGACACGCTGAAGGAAGGTAGAAGTTACGCGCTGTAACAGAGTCTTACACCGGCTCGGGTACCTGCAAATAGTTGCTGAAATCAGGGCCGCGAGCCCGAGCAGCAGGGTGACAGCCGCTCTTACCTCCGTGAGGTGCGGAGCAGAGCCGCTCCTTTCTCCTGCGGTCACCTTCGAGCCCGTCCCTACAGTGAGTCCTGTTTTAGTCCTAGTTCAGTTCTAGTTTAGTCCTAGTTCACTTCTGGTTTAGTCCTGGTTCAGCTCTGGTTTAGACCTGGTTTAGTCCTGGTTCAGTCCATATACAGCGCAAAAGTTATTTTGGTGAGAGTAACTTAAAGTAATGCAATAGTAATGTAATGCCTTACATTTTAAATGCAGTAATATTGTAATGTAACGAATTACTTTGAAATGACAGTAATAGGTAATAAATAACGCATTACAGTTTCAAAGTAACTTGCCCAACAGTGCTGGACAATATTACAGCATTATTATGATTGTACACAGAGAATTGTGCTTGGTATCAAACTAAATATGAACGGACTGTACCTCAGATTTTTTATTATACCCATTACTTTATTGGTGATGCATATTTTTGGTATATTCTAGAAGCAACTTTATACCTCCCTTAAGTGTACTACAACTTCATTACTGGTTTTACAATGACAACAGCTCATTTTTCACAGTAAAATCTACAGTACCATTAAATACTTAGAAAAAGTTACTTGTTTACCCTCCTGCTTCAAACTCTGGTCCAGGTGTACCCATTCATCATTTGTACTGCACTTTGTTGACCTGTAGTAATATGAGTAATACTAACATTCAGGCAGAGGAGTTTAGGTCCTTAGCTTTGAAACCCAATGGCAAAAGTCAATAATAAACATGTAACTTCCTGGAGGAGGCATTTAATCATGGACAACAGGTCGGTGAGGAAAAAGCAAAAGAAGACGCTATTGATTATTGTCAAACCACAGGAAATTCTTGAATAGCGAATGGATCCTGAATTATTAAAGGCACCACCACAAGGAGATGCCTGCTTTCTTGTCTTCCTTTCTCTCTCAGAACTAACCAGATCATGTAGAGCGATTGATAGCTGCCCCACCTGCGTTACATCTGCTAGATCGACATACCTCAGGGACACGAATGACAACGTATTTCAATGAATCTTCTACAGACAAGGCTTCCAGTGCGCCGTAGATCTAGCCTACTTCCACAACATTACCATCTCCATTAATAAAGAAACAGATCTGAAATGGCATTGAGGGAGAGAGAGAGAGAGAGAGAGAGGGAGGGAGAAGGGGAGCGTGATTACCCCGAGAGATTTAAGACCAGGGGTACAATGCAGACATTTACAAGACACGAAATATTACAAGGAGATGCGGAGAATTGTTCAATGCTGTGACAGCCAACATGAGAGCAAGATAGACACGCTTTGAACACTACAAAGTCCTGTTCTGATCAAAGGTTTGTCAGTTTGTATCTAGGGCAGCCTTACTGATCATTTGAATGACCATGAAAAACATCTTATCTAAGCTTAATATTAATGCTATAATGTAACATCAAGATGCAACACGATTTTGCGCTTTGCATCAGTTTCTAGACTCGATTATTTCAAAGAGTTGACTTAAAAGAGCATTTGACATTTTAAAAAATCGTTTGTCAAACCCAATTTACTGTAAGAAACTGAGGCCAGCCAGCCAGCCATCCTAATACATTTTAATGTCCTTGCTTATTAAAGGAGCGCTATGTAACTTTTTTCTGCTAGAAGGTCAGCAATCTGCTTGTCTTCATGGCGATGTTATTGCCTAGAATATTCCACAGAAATAATGTATTTATCTTGAGATTTGTACATCAATTAAAATTTATTTTCAGTCACGCTCCCCCTAGGAAGAAGAAAATATTTCACTCCCCCCACTCCACAGAACCACTATCAAACGTGGACAAATCGCACCCTCGCCTTCAGTAGTCTACATACGAGAGCAAATGTGTTAGTTGCACTTCCAAAGCGACTCCTGGGACACACGCAGCATGTGTCTGTCCGTATTCTGCACTGCGCTCACCTGCGTCATGAGGCGATCCACTCCTGTGTCTTCCAGGTCTTTAATGATCATGTCTGTGTTAAAGTTCAACTCCTTTGCTATTTGGTACACCACCTTATATGATGTTAACAGTGCTCGCCGGTTTACTGAAGCAGCATTCACAAAGCGGGATGATTGCTGGCAATATTCGGCATGTATTCGCTGAAGGTCTCAAGCAGCGTGATTGGGGTGTAATGTCTTTAAGTGATGCTGTAATTTATTTGGCTTTATGCTGTCCGCTGCCAACATTTTTAGACACATTAAACACACTGGTCTTTCCTTGTTTTCCCACCGTAGCCACAGTGAACCCCAAGCATGACATACGTTTTATATATAGTTTGTTCACTGCACTTCATATCTCCTGCTCTGTGCTGTGTTTGTGTTTGCTTGGTGCAAAAAACCCAACACTATAATGTTAATACTTCCTGCGCACACTCTGACAATGAGAGCGTCGCTGCCAACTACTGCATTGGATGTGCAATTACACTTTATTCAAGTATGGCAAAAAAAGCATGTTCCCCGAGCTCACACGTGGCCCCCACTATTTGAGAAGGACTAATTTAAGGGTTAGATCTATAGAGAAGTAAGCCAGTTAGAATGACGTTTAGTGTTACTGGGAAAAAAAAGCAAACCTTCATATAACAGATAAGTTTAATGTCATGCCATGTAACATTTTAGCCAAAAGCACTAGA